GATCAGAAGACTCAATAGTTAGTTATAAGATGGTGATATCTCCCCAAATGGTTCTATACTCCAGTGCAATCCCTATAAAAACCCAGCTGCCTTCTTTGCAGAAATGGACAAGCTGATCTAAAATTTTTATGAAAATGGAAGGGACCCAGAAGAGCCAAAACAATCTTGTAAATGTTGAACAATGTTAGAGGACTTATCCTGACCAAAAATTACTTAGGTCATTTTACCCTAAATCCTTTAGTGAGGTTATATCATATATTTTTTAGTGCAGTTAAATCTATTTGTCACAATTGTCTTTCCATCCCGGGATCGTTCCACATCTTAGTTGACATTTTAAAATTTGCATACATTAAAGTTCGTTATTTGTGATGTATGGTTCTATGAGTTTGGACAGATGCATAGAGTCATATACTCACCACCTCAGTATCACACATCATTCTAAAATTTCCCTTATGTGTCCCCTTTGTACTCATATGTTAAGTGTATTTTTAACGTTAAAAAATATACCACGTTGTTATCCAAAGTAGCTGTACCATTTTGCATATCTACCAGACAACGAATGAGAATTCTTGGCACTTCACATCCTTGACAACATTTGGCATCGCCAGTTTCTTGTATTTAGCCATTCTAAAAGATGAATTTTAGAAAAGCAATTCTTTTCTCTTTTAAAGATTTGACTTACTTATTTGAAAGAGAGAGAGAGCAGGGGGAGAAGCAGAGGGAGAAGGACAAGCAGACACTAAGCTGAGTGGGGAGCCCCACTTAGGGCTCAATCTCATTACCCTGAGATCAGGACTTGAGCTGAAATCAAGAGTTGGCTGCTTAACTGATTGAACCACGCAGGCATCCAAAAAACAAAACAAAACAAAAACAAAAAAAAAACAATTCTTAAACTACTTTGCACAGAGTAGGCGTACATTTTAAAAATCAATTAATGAATGATGTTGATTATATTTAAAGAGAAAATGCCTAAAGAGAGACGTTACTCCCAACAGGAGTGATTATTAACTGAGGAAATGTATACTTCAGCATGAAGAACGATGCCCTCCCACAGGAGATGCTTGAGAAACGATACTTTCCCTTGTTCCTATCCTGCCTTTCCTCAGGGATTTCTGCATTCTCAAAAGGAAAAAGATTCGGGACAAAGGAAAACACTTTGACGATAGGCTTTTAAACATCTGTTGGCGGGGAGAGGGTCTTCATCACCTCCTCCAAGACATCCGAGGTAGGGCCTCCAGTCTGTGGCAGATATTCGGTCCATGAAATCCAAGACTTCCTCCTCTCTGTCTTCCCTTTCCTAGAAGTTTCTACTAGGCAACAGCTGAGGACTATTGGAAGGAAGAGGAGGGGACAAGGGACTTTCTTTTTCCTGGTTGCTGGCTGTCCTGGTTATGTAGTCATAACAGCAGCAGATTGTCCTGGCAGTTGCATACAGCTGCCTTTGGGAACTTCTTTAGGGACGCCCCAGGACCAGTCCCACCATGCAGCGCCCCTCTTCAGATAATGTCCCCAGTCCTATCTTTGCCAGATTCCTGAGCTCCTATGGTACCAGTAACCACCAGCTGCACTCCCCTTCAGAGGTCTCAGTTGCAGCTCTGAGCTCTGAGGGGCTCCCCTCTGAGCACCCCTTCTCCTTTGTTCCCCCAGCCCTAAGGGCAACAGCTGCTTTCTGCAGTTATTCTCTCTGGGTAACCTCGGTGCTCCTTTTCTGCCCTCTCGTCCCTCCAAAGCACATTCGGTTAATTCCCTCTATTAAATTCTCTTTGATGAAATACCTAAAATATTATATATTTTCCTAATGTGTCCTTAGATTATGATCTTTAGGTTATTTCCTGTTTTCTATGAAAAACAATGTTGCAATAAACATTTGTATATGCCTCTGGGTACACATATCTGAAATTTTTCCAAGAATATGGAGCCAGAAGTAGCACTGCTAGGTCACAGGTATAAGAATCAATGTTATTAGACAAAAATCATGCCCTGCACTTCAAAGAAGCATTTTTATTTTCCATTTTGTTCATTACAGCTTGCATTTTACCTTTTCTTCCTCAGGGTATTATTAATGGCCCTGAGACCCAGAGAAGGGAGCTGCCTTGGCTTCTCTTTGATACATTCCTGGAAGAAGGGTCTGAGATAGACCAGAGTTTGCCTGACAAAACCATAACAGATCCCTGGCCCTGTTTAACTTTGTGAGTTGGTAGCATCAGATCTCTGAGAGCCCGTGCTTCAGGGGAATGGAGCAGGTGTCCCTCATGATGAATCAGTTGAGTTACAAATATATTCAGACACCATTTTTTACTGGTTACTGACAAGAAACCCTTTGTGCAGCTCTGTGTAGTTCCTGGCTCTCTGGCAGCTTTGGGAATTTCCAAACGTGGGGCACTGGGATCTTTGCCAGGCTGGGTTCCTCAGAGCCAAAGTCCAGTCCTCTCATCTGAGATCCTGCCACCTTCCACCATCCTGGGTTTCTGCCAAGCAGCCTGCATCCATCCATACTTGGAGGGATGCTCAACAATATTTTCCTCCCTTCCTGTCTCAAGGAATTTCTCTCCTGAGACACACACACACCACACCACACACACACACACTTCCAGGGACTCAACCTCCCAACAATCTTGGCAGCTGGAGACTAACTAGATGAAATCGTTTTCATTTATTCCTTAAGGAGAACAATGTGGTGTTTTCTGCACCCAAGGGGTTGCACAGGCCATTCCCTTTATACTGTGCTGTTTGAAAGTTTATTCACAGTATCCTTCCCTGTGAGGTGATGTGGGCAGTAACGTTCCCATTTCTGAGATGAGGAAAGTGAGGCCCAGAAAAGTAAAGTAATTTGCCTGAGTGGCAGTGTTGGGACTTGAACAAACTCAGGCCCAACTCCCCAAGCGCCACTTTCTTACACACCACCCCAACTCCCTGGGCATAAACAGAGGAAGACTCTGGGAAGAGTCTGCCTCTTGCTTTCTGTCCACGCATACTTTTCCAAGCTGCCCGATTATCCCCCACAGCAAACTGGGACGAATGATACCAGGCCACTTAGCGTCCTGCCTGAGATCCACTTCTTATATATTTGAATGGTTTGACTCATTTACTCTGACAAATGTTGCAGCTTTGGTTGCTTTTTCTCACTTGCTTCTGGCTGTGCATGTCCCGTCATATGAAGTGTGTGCCGTCCCCTAGACACTGGTGCCTGTTTTACTGGGGAGAGCGGGCTCACTGCCTTAGACACATATCCCAGAGCTAAATATTCCCTTTGACAAAATATGAAGCAGGAGTCATTCAATATATTTTTAATCCAGGTCTCTATTTTTCCTGTGCAAATATAAACATAGGCATAATTAATAGTTAAGGCTTTTAAAACATACGCATTTTGAGAATACATTGCTAGTTACACTTTGCTGATGATATGAGCTTAGAGCATATCTTCCTTTAATAGTCCTTTTAAGTTCATTTTAGAACGTTAAAATGGCCAAATGATCTATATTAAAAACAGAAGAGACTCATATAAATCCAAAATACATACTTGAAAATGCAGCACCTTTTGTATGAACTACATTAGGGCCCAGTTATATAGCATATGGATTATAACATCAGACCACAGAGACTTCAAGGTTCCTAAAGCAAAATGGGGCATTTTTTTTTCTGAGAAGAAAGAGGAGGAGGAGAAAGAGAAATCAGAAGAGAAGGGAAGAGAAGGGAAGGGAAGGAAGGGAAGAGAAGAGAAAAGGAGAAGAGAAGAGAAGAGAAGAGAAGAGAAGAGAAGAGAAGAGAAGAGAAGAAGACAAGAGAAGAGAAAGAGGGAGGGAAGGGAGGAGAAAAAAAGAGAAGGAAACCTGTACATATGGCTTCTCTGCATCAGAAGAATAACTCACCTTTCGGTAATTTACAATGTGTATTTAAGTGAAGGATGGACCAGTAAGGTTATAACTTGTAATCATAGAAACTGAATATAGAAATATCATATACAATGGAAATGGAATTCTATTTACTGGATTAAAAAAAGAAAAAGCTAGGTCCTACAGTGGGTACACTTCCGGTGACTGGCAAGCTGAGAGCTTTGCCACACTGGACATAATTCCAGGGGTGAGTGAGGCTTCCTCTCTGAGTGGAGGGGCAGTTTGCAGAGACAGCCTACGGGTTTGATCTTCTAAAAGTTCTAGTAGTCAGCTCTGCTTAACTCAGGACCCTATCCCAACCTGCAACCTGCAAGGCTCTCCCCTGAGCATAACTCTCAAGCCAGAACAGGCTGCCCCTGTTCCTGACTCAGGAATCAGGCGAGAGGCTGTCTTCAAACCCCTTTGGTGAAATAGAAGATGTTTCTTTCCCTCATCGAGATGATCTTTTCTATGAAACAGATTCCAGTTTCATGGGGGCCAGATGACAGGGAATCTGGATTTGCTTCATGGGCTCAAACTGACCTCAAATGGGGTGACTTAGCTTCATCTCTTGTGCTTATCACAGCACGATCAAAGGCCAGGATTTCTAGAATCCCAAAGAGCACACGAGGAGAGACCAGATTCAGAAATGTGCCCCAAACTGTCTCGTGTAAGGTTGAATTTGAGATCCCACATTGCACTCAAATTGTCACAGCTCCCTTATCAGAAGGTGGTGGCGTGGGGTGTGCAAGGGGGTGGATGACTAAATAATCTTCCATTTACAAGAAAATAAAGTTCAAAAGTCTAAAAATTCCTCATGGATTAAAAACATAATTGTGCTGTGCCCACACTCATATGCGTGGACTGGGGACACCTCACATCGCACAAAGCCCTGCCTTGTGCAGCGTCCCGTGTGGACATCACAATAACCTGCCACTTAACGGGGGCTGACGCGATGAGTCCCCCTTCCTAAATGAAGAAACTGAGGCTCTCTCCCAGGGCCACACATCTTGCAAAGGGTAAGGAGAATAAGAATGCAACCCCACCGAGTCCTGGGCCACTCGGCGGTGGCCACAGTGCATCGCAGCAACGGCGGACTCTGGGAAGCAGGACACAGACCTCTGCATTTCATTGCTCTTTGATCTCTGTTTTTGCGGCATCCCCAGGAATACCCCCATCAGATAGGGGTTCGCTCCCAGAGACCTTCACCTGGCGCTCCAGGTGACTGAGACGCTGTTTCACTTTCATCTGGGTTGCGTTGTACTCGGCCAGGAGCCGGGCGAACCTGGTCTGCAGGGTGTCCAGGGAGGACTCCAGGTGCTCCACCTTCTCCTCGATGTCCTTGGGGTCTGCCCCGGCCTTGGCCACGTCCTCGTCGATCAGGTTGTCCTTCATCAGGATCTGCCGCCCCTTCTCCTCCAGGGCCTTCTTGGCTTCCGGGTATTCAGTGAGAGCCTCCATCAGGTCATCCTTGGACAGGCAGAACAGGTCTGAGTAGCCGATGCTCCTGATGTTGGCCGTCCTTCGGTTCCCTGACTTGCTTCCTTTGATGTTCAGGATGCTGATCTCCCCAAAGTAACTCCCGTCACTGAGGACCACGAACTGGGTGATCCCGTCATCAGCCACCACAGCCAGCTTGCCCTCCTTGATGATGTACATCTCCCTTCCAATGTCGCCCTTCTTGCAGATGTAATCCCCTGGGCTGAACACTGCAGGCCGCAGCTTGAGCACCAGCTCCACCAGCAGCCCTGCCTCGCAGTCCTGGAAGATGCGGACCTTCTTCAGAGTGTCTAGGTGCACATTGATGGCGATCTCGGCCTTCAGTTTGTCTGGGAGACTCTTCAGCACCTCCTTCTCATCCACCGTCTTCTTGTTGGCCCACAGGTAGTCAAACCACCGGATCACCCGTGTCTCCAAGTCTTTGGTCACCTTGCGGAATTGCATGTACTGCTTGATGGAGTCAATCTTGGCCTGGAACTCGGCCCGTGAAGCATTCATGTTCGAGATCATGGAGCCCACATTGCCAACAATGGTGGCGAAGATTAGGACGCCCACTAAGAAGTCTATGACCACAAACACGTACTCCTCATCTTTTACAGGGGGTGGGGTCTCTCCGATGGTGGTCAGGGTCAAGGTGGACCAATAGAGACTGTAAATATACTTCCTGGAGAGGCGTCCATACTCTGGGTTTGAGATGTTTGGATAGACCCAGGAATCTGTCCCGAAACCAATGAACTTGGAAATGGCAAAGTAGATGCAAGCATTCCAGTGAATGATGATAAGGATGTATAAGACCAAGTTTCCGATCCTGAACAAATTGGGGTAGTTGGTTCTCGTCTCCGTGCGGTCAAAGAACTCAAAGAGCCGGGAAAACTTCAGTAGGCGGTTGAACCTCAGTTCTGGGTAGTTTACACCCAACTTAAAATAAGCCAGGTCTGTGGGAACTAGGGACAATATGTCTAGCTTGAAGTGCACAGTCTTTGTGTAATGCTTCCACAGCCTCTGGGCATCCTTGACCATCAAGCCTTGCTCCAGGAAGCCTAAAGAAAAAGATGGAGGTCACTTGGGCATTAAAGAGGCTACTTTTTTTTTGGACCATGGCCCACAGGAAAATATTTTACACCGTGATTAAAGAAAGCATAGTTAGGGCAGCCTGGGTAGCACAGCGGTTTAGTGCTGCCTGCAGCCCGGGCTGTGATCCTAAGGACCCAGGATCGAGTCCCAGGTCGGGCTCCCTGTGTGGAGCCTGCTTCTCCCTCTGCCTATGTCTCTGCCTCTCTCTCTCTCTCTCTCTCTTCTCTCTGTGTGTGTGTGTGTGTGTGTCTATGAATAAATAAATAAATAAAATCTTAAAAAAAAGAAGGCGTAGTTATACATATATGACAGAAACAACTTCAAAAACCACATTTACCTCTTACTATGAAAATGCACTTCTCATTTATGATATCCTACCTTTTTTATTCAGTTAAAAATGTAGATTAATTGGGTAAATTTGAATGTGGACTGGTGTTAGATGATAGGTCCTCCCTACTTCCTTAATTATATCCTCTCTAGATTCTAAAGATTTTTTTTCCCTTTCAGGTATGATCCATGGCCACTTGGTTTCTGTACTTACCTGCCTTATACAGGAGGCTTCCTGTGGAATCCTAGAATACCAGGGACAGTACCCAAGAACAAAAAGGGACAAGATCACTGTCTGACTGGGGATAACTTGTCCCATTGAAGCTTGGTTAAAACAAGGTTAGTTGGCTCAATGAGTCGGGCCACCCAGGGAGCTCTTGTGTCTTAGTAGGCTTACGTGACCACAAATTGGCAGACCACCAGGACTAGCTAAGTTACCCATGCAATCCTCAAGCTGCATACTTGAGGTCTTCTTCCTTCTTTTTTTTTTAAGATTTATTTATTAAGAGAGGGAGAACATAAGCAGGGGGAGGGGCAAAGAGAGAGGGAGACAAGCAGACTCTCTTCTGAACCAGGAGTGAGGAATAGTTCCATCCCAGAACCCTAAGATCATGACCTGAGCTGAAATCTAGAGATGGATGCTTAACTGCTAGAGCCACCCAGGCTCCCCAGAGGTCTTCTAAGTTGTTATGCTGTGCAGTGTGTGGAAGCGGTGGTGGTGGGGGGTGTCAGTATGGCCCTGTGGGGTAGTGACTGTAGACTCTGGGCCAGTCACTCAGTGTCTCTGGGCTTCAGTTTCTAAATCAGCAAGATGGAGATAATTACGCCTGTGCTTCCTATCTCCTGCAGCAGTTCTAATGAGAAAACAAGGTGCTTGAAATGCTCTGTACGCTGTGAAGCCACACGGAGGCTTGCTGCCGTGATGTGATGATGGTTATTGACAACTATGGCATGGTTTTTAGCTCAAAAATCTGGAAAGTGACAAGCCAGGCCTCTGCCAGCTGGTGTGATGTCTTTGTGCAGATTACAAAAAGATGCCCACAGGATGCACAGCTTGGACCCTCAGACACGGGGGGTTTTAACCCTACTTTTGTTCAGAGGCAATCTGAGGGAAGTCATCATTAACCTGGGTCCTGTTTCCTCCTTATATCTGAAAGCCCCAGAGTAACATGTCCTGGATCCTCCAACTGTCCAGGAAAAGGAACTCCAAGATCAATGGAGTTCTCCCTCCTATTTCCTGAGATATTGAACCATCACTGCTGGAGGGGGTCCTTTGAGAGATGACAGTTTGGCCTTATTTCACAGGTGATACAAATGAGGTCCAGAGAGACAACTTGACTTGCTCAAGGTCACACAGCTTGTTGGGACAGCAGGGACCAGTACCCAGGTATCCTGACCTCTACTCAAGGGCCATCGTAGAGGGAGCAGTACCACGCCTCACTATTTGAGCTACCCCAGACCTGCCTGGACTCTTGCAATCAGAGGGAGGTAATGTCACCCATTCTGGATCTCCTGAACCCACCTTGTGGTCCCCAAGGTCCCCCTCCTGATGCATGAGGTGGGTCTGTGGTCTGGCCCAGAGAAGTCCCTGGGCCTGGGCCCACTCACCTGTCCGGGCTCGCACCAGCACATCCAAGCCATAGAGGAAATCTGCCGAGTAGTCCAGGAGCAGCCACAGCATCACGTGCTCAGACTGCAGCTCATCAAAACAGGCCCTAAGCAAGTGAGGGAAGGAGTGGGCATGTCCAGGCCTTGGTCTAAGGCAGGGTCCATCTCTGTGCTAAATCCTGCAGCTTTCATCTTTGTGTTAGCCCACCTGCAGGGTTTGGGCCCCAGCATTATCACCCCAGGCTCTGATGAGGAGATCCAGCTCTGAGGTTTTCTGTCCCAAAGAATGAACCCTTTTGCCTCTCGATCATATGCTCTGAGATCCCAGGAGGGGCAGTGCGTCTAGGCCTCACTGGTGGAGTCATGTGAAGAGATGGAGCACTTGCCCTTTCTGGGGTCAAATGCCAACAAAACTAGAAGAATTTCTCAGAAACTAATAACTGGACAAGCCAGTAAATATTTTCTACTTTCTAGATCATTATACTCACTATTTCTCATATAGACAATACCCTCCAAATACCCCTCTTCACTTCAAAAGACCAGCAGCTGGTGCCTGCATCCCCACCCTACAGCTCACTCAGGAAACTGAGGCCCTGCTGCCTCCTCAGAATAGTAACTTTCCTGCATCCCCAGAAGCCCCACTCACACAGGAGCAACTGGCCCACATATCCCCATCTTGCAGGTGGGCTAGGAGGGGCCCCAAATTCTCCCCCTTCTCACTCCCACATTTATCCTCAGAAGAGCAGGAGTTCCCTTCCTCATTCTGATAATCCCCAAAGCCCGCACTTAAACTCAGTAGCACGTCTTGCAGGCTTGCTCAGGATTGGTGCAAAGCCCCCTGCCTCCCCTGCACCGCTCCCAACCAACTGCAGAAGAAGGGCTGCTCGTAAGGGCCCTGAGCCCCCTCATTTGTTTTCAGAGAGTAGCAGCTCACCCCTTATCCTACCCCGAAGCTTGCTTAGAGAACCCCCAAGGCCTCCTGTGTACTTCTAGAAGAGTAGCAGTTTGCCCCTCTGTCCTCAAACTGCTTGCTCAGGAACTTCCCCAAACCCCTGCCCCTTCAGAAGAGTAGCCTCCTCCTCCCCCTCCAGAGCACCCAAAGCCTCACCCACTGTGGGAAGAACAGCTGCTCACCCCTGCATGCCTGTCTTATGGGCTTGCGCAGAAAGGCTCTAGAGCCTAATGCTTAGGACACAGTCTCTCGTCCTTGCATCCTTGCCTTGCAGCTCACTCAGATATGCCACACAGACTCCCACCAACCCCCCCAGAGGAGAGGCAGGTATCCCTACATCTCTCCTGTGGACTTACTCATAAACTGCCCCCAACACCCCTGCTTGTCCACAGAGAACAAGCAGCTTACCCTGCATCTCTGTTCTGCAGCTTGCTCAGGGATGCCCGGGGGTCCTGTTTGCCCTCAGAACATAGCCCCTTGGCACCCCAAATCCTGTAGAGAAGCCCAAGCCCCCAGCTGGCCCTCAGAGAAGCAGCATCCTGCCCCTGTATTCCCAAGCAGCAGATTTCCTGAGACCCTAAACCCCTCCCTCCCCCAATCTCTTACTAGAGGAGTAGCAGCTCACCCTGTACCTCCCTCCCATAGTTTGCTTAGAAAAGTTCCAGAGCCTCCAGTTCTCCCCAGGAGAGTAACAGCTTGCCTTGTACCTCAGAAATGCATTTGTGGGGCACTTCCCGAAGCCCACATCTACCCTCATCCCTGTCCTGCAGGCCTTCTCAGGAGCACCCTGGCTGCTCTCACAAGAGCAGCAGCTTGCACCCCAGCACTCCGACTTGCTTGGGCTTACAATCAGAGAACTATGCCCTTCCCCTGCATCCTTGTCCTGCAGGCTGCTCAGGAACACCCTGCCCCCACCCATTTCCCTGCAGAAGAGTAGCTAATCGCCCCTGCATCTTCCATCTTCCTCCTACAGCTGGATTAAGAATGTTCCAAGGTGACAGGACCCTTGCTGCCCATAGCAAGCACAGATCCCCCACCGTGCTTCAGAGAACTCTGATGGTCTTCTAGATCCTCCTCAGAGATGGAAAAATGAAGACACTCAGTTGGATGGTGGCCATGTGGGGACCAGAAATCCAGCCCCTGAGTGGGACCCAGAGCTCTATCTTGAGTCCTGACTGCCTCACCCCTCCTTGCTCCTCCACCCTCACCCCTCCCTGTATGGTGACCCTGCCCCATGCCCCTACCTGCACACCAGCAGACACCAGTTATAGAAGACAGGCAGGGCAATGAGAGTCAACCAGCGATAGTACATGTTGCTGGAGGGGTCCATCACCATGGTGGCCTTCTTGTTTCTGGAAACACCAACACACAAACAATGCAGTATATTGAAAGATCACAGCATTGGGCAGTCTTAGAGATTTGGACTAGCTTAGAGACCCTAGGGTAGCTGCAGGCTAAACTCAAGAGACTCAAGGACACATGGGTTATCCCTGCGTGAGAGGACAGGCTGGGAGAGGGCAGATTGGAGGGCCTTCCCTCCTAGCTCAGCTTCCCAGAAAGCCACAGTTGACCATAAAACCATGGTGCTAACATTCCCATGTGCCTGTGGTATAACCTACATCCTTCAGCATGCTGGGAGTAAATTGCAGCATAGCACGGTAATGTTGGAGCCACCTGGGGGAGCTCTGTGAGAACACTGATTCTTGGGGCCCACCCAGATTCCCTCCAGGGCTGGGACTTGAGATGTGCATTTAAACACTGCCCACTGGTTCTGCAGTCCAGCTCCTCTCTGGACTGCATTCGGGAGCTAACTGCATCTGCGCAGATGATCTGAAGACTCCTATCCAAGTACTTGGATCCTGCCTCTTCATCAAAAAACAACTAACATGGGAATCATCTAGGTTATGTGGGCCAACACTGGAGGAAGCAATAGCTTAGGGTGCTTTCTGTTTCTATTTTCAAGATTTTCTGAGGATTAGTGTTTATAGGTAGTATTGGAGATTCTTCGTTTCCTTTGGATTCATGTGTCTTCTCCCTGGCCCCATAGGTCCCACAAGCTGGCCCTAGCCCGCAGAGCTGCTCCCAGGCCCCAGAGAAGACCCTGGGATGCCTTTCTGCCTTTGCCTTGACTCAGCAGGTACAGGATCAACAGCTCACTGACAGGGCTTTGGAATGTTCACAACACATATCACCCCTGGGTGTGGAGTGAAGTTTGTGAATATATTATTTCCTAGTGCCAGGGAGTAGACCTCAGCTCACCCCAACTGTACAGACAGGCAAACAGAATATGGGGTGGGGTTGCACAGGAGTGGGCTCACAGGGACAGCCCCTCTGGGTGCTCTGAATTGGGGCGGGACTCTGCCTGCGGGGTGGGCCCCTCACACCATCTCAGGAAGCCTGATCCCCACCTGGCACCACTGTGCTCCCACAACGCTAGGCAGCCCCTCTCTAGGGCCGATGCTGAGGCCTGACCACATGGTTCTCAGACTCACAGGAGCCAGGAAGAGGTCAGGCCTGCGGGGACCACTACACCCCTTTGTTGGAGGCAGCTCTTCTCAGTACTTACTCCTCTTGTTTTGTGCAGTTTTTCTCTTTCTCTTCCTTTTTCTCCTTCTCCTCCTTTTTCGCCTTGTCACTGGATGACACAGGGGGGACATTTAGCAATTTTCATAGGCCAAGGACACTACCACAGTGGAGAGAGTGGGCCACAGTCACAAGGAGGAGAGGGTATGGTGTGGGAAATGGATATTTCTAGCACACTGGGATGAAGCGAGGTTATTGCTTTTATTGCTATTATTATTCCTGGGGCTTGAGGTAAAGCACCCCATTAAAGCATATGTCATACGCAGTCAGGTAGACACAGTGGTCCAATCTAATGTTCTAGCATTTCTGACTGACTTTCGTGAGCCCCTGGGAAGTCACAAAGAGCTTGAGACCAGAGACACTTTGAGGTAATGGGAAATGAACCCACATCCACATATTGAGAGCGGAAAAGTCACTTGGGGGTTCAGAGGCTCATGTACAGTTCTTTGTTCTGAAGGGAAGGGGATGGCTTGGTAGCTGTTCTCAAAACCCGCCCGTGTAGCAGATGAAATCCTGGCCCTTGATAAGGAAGCCAGGGAGGAGAAGGGAAGCAAAATACACACAGGCAGAAACAGGTTTGCCCCATTAACAGCAAATCTTAAGAGTCATCTGAGGCAAACGCAGTCATGTTCAGATACTTATCCAGATGTTTCTGGACCGTGAGGCTGGGGGCTGCATGGCCCCCTTCCATCCACATCTACAGGAAGGTCCTATGAGTGCAGGTGTCTCCTCAACACATGACTTTACTCGGCTTCCTCTTCTTTATGGCATATCTTTAAGGGTTAACACTTTTAAAAAGGTTGCCTGTTAATAATTATATTAGTTCTTCAAGGCAGGCATTAATGCCCATAGAGAATCATCCAGAGACCCCTCTCTGATCTTCCTGTTCCACATCCTGGAGGAAGCACAGGTTGAGAAATAAGCACCTGCCAATTAAACACTCATTGGAAAAGACCAATATACTTTACACAGCAATTCCTAAGGAAATAATCAAAGATGTGTGCAAACAGGCGTACAGAAAAATAATCACTACCATTAGCTGTAATGGTCAAAAGCATAAGCAATCTGGTCCTACAACAGGAGGAGATTCATCAACAATGGAATTCTACAAGGCTCCTCAAAGTAATGTGGAAGAGTATTTGGGGACATGGGAAAACATTTCTAATATTTTGCCAAGTTAAAAGCAGACTGCAAAAAAGCTCAGAATAACAGCTGCATGAGGTTTCTATTGCTGCCAGAACTGTCACCACCTTAGTGGCTTAAAACAACCCAAACTGCAGATCTGTAGGTCATAAATCTGGTATGGGCTGAAAATTGAGCCTCGTGCTGAAATTGAGTTGTCGGCAGGGCTCTGTGATTCTTTTTGAGGATTCCAGGAGAGAATCTGTTTCCTGCTCATTTGGATTATTGGTGGAATTTAATTCCTTGCAAGTAGAGGACCAATATCCTCATTTATTTGCTGGCTGTAAGCTGAGGGCATGCCCAGCTTTTAGAGGCTTCCTTCTATGCTCAGAGCCAGCAACAGCAGGCGGAGTCCTTCTCAAGATGCCATCTCTCTGGTTCTCTGCAGCTGGAAAGCTTCTGCACTTTTAAGGATGCACGTGATTAGACTGGGCCCACCTTGATAGTCCAGGATAATCTCCCCATCTCAAGGTCCTGAGATTTAATTACATTTGCAAAGTCCTTTTTGCTGTGTGAAGTAACCTAGTCACAGGAGGTGAGGACTAAGGCATGGACATGGGGGGGGAACCATTATGCCACCTACTGCAGTCTGTCCCTTGGCCTTCAAAGATTTACATCCATCCCGTGGGCTAAATGCATTCACCCTAATTCCAAGACCCCCCCAAAGTTTCATCCCATTCTAGCATCAACTCAGAATCTGAAAGTATTATTAAAATCTCATCAGCTCAAAAGTCCCAAATCTTATCATCTAAATCAGGTAGGGGCAAGACTCTGTCTGTGAATCATCCTAGGGCATGAGTCACTCTACTTGTGAACCTGCAAAACTAAAACAAATCACCTGTTCCAAAGATACAATTCAAGGGCAGGTATAGGATATTAATTATAGATATTCCAGTTCAAAAAGGGAGAAAACCAAAGGACAAGAGTGTTACTGGTCCCAAGCAATTTTGAAATCCAGCAGGGCACCAGCCATTCTGTCTCAAGGCCTGAGAATAATCCTTGGTAGTTTTCATGCCTCCACCCTCTGAGCTCAGAGCTTTGCCCTCTGAGCCCTCCTTTCTTCCTCCTTAAAGGAATCACCTGTTTATAACTGAGTATTCTAATCAACCTGTTTCCTGCAGCTAGAATTTAGGGGTCCCATAATCTCCCTCCATTTCATACTGTTTCTGTCCCTTCAGGTCCAAGCTGGTGGTGTTTCTGCTGGCAGGAAATCTTCTAGAACACTGCAGGTCATGTATATTAGAGGGAATCACTGTGCCAGACAAGAGGCTCTTCCATAGACCTGTCTGAGAAATCCCTTCTCTATTTTTAGCTTCTGCTGGGATGGCAGAGGGGAGCTATGAGTCACATCCTTAAATTCTTCTGGGAGTCTTTTGTTCCCTACTCAGAACTTTTGAACTTTCTGAGGTATTAGCAAATGACTGTTAAGCCACACCCTCGACTTTTTCTCAAAGCACACTTTCCTGACAGTTTTTTAAATTTAGTAACTTTCCCTTTTGAGTAGGCTGAGAATTTGCAAAACCATGAAGTCCTGTTTCCTTTTTCTTTCAAATTCTTCCTTCCATTTATCTCTCTCTCCTCTTGGGTTTTACCATAAGCAGCAAGAAGACACCAGCCTGGACCTTCAACACCTTGGTTGGAAATATCCTCAGCTCCTTTGTCAAGTTCATTGCCCACAAGTCCTGTTTCCCACCCGCCTGCAGGTTGTAGTTGTGCTAAGCTTTCTGCCACCGTAAAACAATAGTCCTATTTCTCCAGTTTCCAATGGCCTTCTCCTCATTTTTTTTGCAAATCCTCAGCAGCAGCATCCTTTTTTTTTAAAAAAAAAGATTTTATTTATTCATTTATGAGAGACACAAAAAGGGAGGCAGAGACATAGGCAGAGGGAGAAGCAGGCTCCCTGTGGGGAGCCCGATATGGGACTCAATCCCAGGACCCGAGGATCACACCCTGAGCCAAAGGCAGATGCTCAGCCACTGAGCTACCCAGCAGGATGCTGCTGGTGAACCATTCCACCAGCAGCATCCTTAAAGCCCTGGGTCCTCCTAATGGTTCAAGCCACAAGGTGGTTGGCCAATTAAGGTTTTCTCTGTAATGTTCCTCATTTCCTTCTGAGCCCTCACTGGAAGAGGCTTTGATGTCCATATTTCTACTACCAGCCTATTCAAAGCAATCTAGGCTTTTATTTATTTTTAAATTATGCTTTCAGAATTCTTCTGGGGTCTGTTCTGAAGCCAGTCCTGCATTGTTTGGTATTTGTTTCAGCAGAACCCCCTTCCTGATATCAAAAGCTATATTACTTGTTTGCTACTGCTGCCATAACAAATTACTACGAACTTAGAGGCTTCAAACAACCCAAATATGTTATCTTATAGTTCTCTAGATGAAAATTCTGGAAAAAGTTTGGACAAAAATCAAGGGGCGGGCAAGCTGCATTTCTTCCTGGAGGCCCTGGGAGAGAATCTGTTTCCTACTCACTGGGGTTATGGGCAGTGTTCAGTTTCTTGAAACTATAGGACCAAAGTATCTGTCTTCTTGCTGCTAAAAATGGAAGGCTACTCCCAGCTTTGAGAGGCTGTTGTATTCCTTGCTTTGTGTCACCCTTTCTCCTTCTTCAAAGCCAGCAGTTACTGGTTGGGTTCTTCTCACAATGAAAATTCCTCTTCTTCCTCCTTCCATCTTGTCTCACAGACCCACGCTTCTTCCCCTCTTTCTGCTTTTAAGGACTCATGTGACTATATTGGGCCCACCTGATAATCCAGGATAATCTCCAAGGTCTTTAAATTTAATTACATTTGCAAAGTCCTATTTGCCATATAAGGTAACCTCTCCACAGGTTCCAGGGATTAGGATGTAGCCATTTTAGAGAGGTGGTGATGAAATTGTTCTGCTTACCTCCCTAGTCAGTATTTATTGGGCACTTACTATATACCAGGCTCTGTTCTAAGCACTGTACATGTATTTACATAGTCTTTGCACAACCTCATAAGACATTAGTACAAACCCTATCTTACAAATCAGGGGACTAATGTACAGAAAGGTCAGGTAGCTTGCCTAAGGTCACAAAGCTCTTTGTGGCTGAATAGGGATACAAATGCACTTAACCAGCATATATATAATGATATATGTATATACTATATGTGTATATGGTATAAAAATTGATAACATATATATCATATATATGTACTTGTAATTGATAGCATATATATCATATGTGTAATTATGTATAATTTAAATAATAAAAATAATTAACATATAACAGTTATACTATAATATATACCAGTATATAATTATCTATTTATATATAATATAATCTTTCTATCTATTCAGTATCCATAGAAAAACTTGGAGGGATATTTCCCTACATGTTAAGAGGAGTTATCTCTGATAATGGGATTCTATTACTAAAATGAAGCATATGCTCACGGGTGCTTTTCTGTGTTTTCCAAGTTTTTGACAGTGAACACATGAATGAATTGAATCAAAAGAAAAGGTTATTAAACTTGGTAAATGAGAAGAGCAAGGACAGTCTCCCATCTCCTGTCCTCTTCAATCTACCATGAAGTGTCCCTCGAAGGGTTTTCTGCCACTGAAGTCTTAATGCATGATACCAGCAGAGGGCACTGCCCACAAGCTCATGGAGTATGCTTAGACCAGCAGGGAGTTGACACCTGGCCAGGATGTATGGCATGGGGGTTACAGGCCTTGGCCTTTCCCCTGGTTATCAGCCTGCTGTGGGCCTATGAAAAACCCAGCACCATTCCACTGCACCCCAGAATCCACCCAGCTCTGCCCTGAAGGACCTATACAGAGCTGCAAAAACAATGCCAGTTTGGGCTGGGTACAGTTTGCTCTGGAACAGAGAAAAATTATGCAGGACCCATAGGATTAAGTGAAAATGCCAGAAACGTGTTGGAAGAATGGGGAAGGGCATCCATAAGAATTATTTCTGTAACTCTCTGCCCAACTGGTCATATTTTGGGACAGTCCCCAATTTTCTCCCTCAGTCCTTGGCCTGCAGCATGGATCCATGATCCGAACCCATCTGAAAAGATGTATAGGAGCCTGATGCAGCCAACACTACCCCCACCCCCCCACCACCATCCTCACCCACATCCCAGCCCCAGAACAGAAAAGGCTAGAGGCCTGCAGGACCTCCATCTGTGGTTTTCAGTGCCCAGAGCCTATCTCTGACTACGGGGACTCAACACTGGGGGTTTCCAGGGTGTTTAATATCAAGTTTGGCTTTAGATCAAGCACATAGCTGCTGTTTTGCAGATTAAATAATCTCATTTACCTTGATTGCTGGCTTTTGGGTCTCTGAATCTGATATCCACCCAACAAAATGCAACTAAGTTTCACGGAGGGAAATGGGGGAAACTTCTATCCAAGAAACAAAGGAAAATAAGAAAAAGCCTTGGCACATTTCTCTTTCAATTGCAAGTCAGGAAATTCAGATTTCTTCCTGCTGATATTGCTGGGTTTTTCCCTAAGCTTCAACTGAGACTTCCTCCCACGCCTGCCCCCATGGTATTCCATAAAGAAGGCTGGAGAATGGTGCACCCACATACGTGCTAACCCACGTATATGATCACACACATCCTCCTTGGACTCTTGAGTGGCACTTGCCAGAATCACACATCATATTGATCTTCCAGCTCAGCATCTGGTGATAAAAAAAGTACAGCAGGCCACCATTTCAAGAGGCTATCTTCTGGAAGTATTTAAATTTCCTCTTCCCACTGTCTTGATCGCACCCTCCAAATTGGCCTGGACTGACCTGATGACAAGGGCATTTCACTGGGGGACCCTGGAGCTTGAGGTCATAGAATGGAAAATGCATACTCATCATGAAGGAGAGCATCCGTGCTCCATAAAGGAACTCCGATTTTGCACCCTCAAACACAGTGCTAGAGGACATCAAAGCTTAAAACATTTATGCAATTCAACCCCTTTGCATTATAGATGAGAAAAATGAGGGAAAGAGAGAAAATGACTTGCTCCAAAAAGTCATAATGGACCAGGTCCCTTCCCCATTTTTCCACGGGGATGGAATTTTGGTGAAAGGTACAGGATTCTAATCTAGTGGTGTTTGGGGAGGGTGTTTAAGCAGGGGGAGCGAGGCTGGGACATCTACAGGGAGGCAGGTGGCCAGTGGGACCAGAGAAGGCAGGGGGCTCTGCTGGGAAGCAGAGGTACTCACTCCTCTGAATTGTTGCAGGTGTTGGTGTTGTTTCTGGCCAGGGGCCAGCCACTAGAGAAAAGTAGAGAGAATGCAGCATGGGAATCTGAGCTCAGTTCCAATTGCTGGGAATCATTAGCCCCAGGTGGTTATTCTAGGCAACCCCCATGCCCGGTCCCCTGGGTCTTTCCACACAGCTTGAAGGATCCGCAACAAAAATTTGGGGGACTAATTAGCCCTAGTAAATAAAGCTTTGTGGGAAGAGAGGATGAACATTTGGCTAAACTGAGTTCTTCTGAATAAACGAGAGTTGCTATGTGAATCCCACCCAGTCCCAGCCTCATATTCCACGCAATTTCGTTCCATTTAACCATATGCCCGGCAGGGCGCCAGGAGCTACAAGGGGCACAGACGTGAAGTTGAGGGGCACCTGCCTTGGGGTGCACTTAGGTGATGCGGGCTGAGTGCCTTCAGAATGCACATACTCAGCAGCCCCAGCAACCTGCTCCCCTCACCTGCACAGGCAGGGCTCTCAGAAGCCACCCCCCCACACACACACATACACACACCCCAACCCTCCTGCCGAAAACAATCACAGCAGCCGCTTCTGACTTGCAGGGCCAAAAAATAGACCGTGGGCAGAACTGTCCCAGTTTTGAGGCTCTATCCTGCCCTAGGCCCTTGTCACTGCATTAATCCTAACACTTCTGGGCCTGCCATCCCTGGTCTCTATGAGGATTGGGTAGAAAGCAAGAGGCTGGTTTTGCACCCAAACTGCATGTTTATTTAAAGCCAAATCCCATGGTCCTTCATGGTGTTCTCTAGGAAAAGGTATTATCTCCTAGTGCTCAATTGCTAAACATGTGTTTTTGACACAGCTAGTTGGCCTCACAGCTGCCTGTCGCCACTGTAGACCATTCACAGAAGACAGCCAGGACCGAAGCCAGTGGCCAATGGTACTCCTGCCTGGCTCTCAGGGCACCTCTTCTTCTATGATGCTGAACACCGAACCAAATGCCATTCTGGTTCTTCTGCTCACGCCTGCTCAAGTCTCCCTCTCATCATCCAGGATGTGGCTCTAACTCCTTGTTTGGGGGTTGGTTCTGATCATCGGAAAGTCCCCCAGGGAATTTCCCAACTCCTGTGAAATTGGGAAAGTGTTGCTCCTTGAGATGCAGTGGCCTGTGTTCACCACATTTCTGTGTCTGGTATCTCTTAAGGGCAAGCCAGCAGAACAACCAAGACCTGTCTCTGCATACACTGCTATGCCAAAGAGATTCGCCTGGAAAATCCAAAGTCTTCCTCCCCCAGGAAGTCTCCTTGATTGATCAGCCATGATCCTACACCATTGCGTGCACCTGCCCACTCTGAACCCTTGGGTGAGTGACCAGGCATCTGAGGCATAGTAGGGACTTGCCCCTGATGGAGTCCTAGCTCAACTCTCTGCTCCTCTGGTCACATTGGGAAAAGGACAAAGAAGCCAATGTTCATCTTCATTAGGCTAAGGTTGTAGAGAAGATAATTTGATCAAGTTAGCAAAGGAAGGTTTTGCTTGCCCACCAGCAACTAAGCCAGTCTGACTGGCTCCATAGCAAATCTCTCTCCCCTCCTCCTCCTCCTCTATCTTCTCTTCTTCCTTATCTGTCATCCCTCCTTTCTTTCTGGCTCAGCAGACCTTTGGAGCTCCCTCTCAGTCTAGGATGCCTGACCCTGGGAACCTGGAATCTCCCTACACACATCCCCACCAGCACCCAGGCCCTCTGTGGTCCCTTCCCAAGCCCAGAAATCCCAATAGTTTGTGGTCCACGCTCAGGTGAAAATGTGAGCCCAAGAATGCTAGGCCTTTACATCTCAGCCAGCAATTCTTAGGCCTTTCCCAGCAGGAAGACTAAATGTGGCTCTCCTAGAGTGGTTGCTAGCAAGAAATTTCCTTGAACTCTCATATTTTATCTTAAATATGCTTGTATATTTTGCAATCTACTGCAGAATCCAGAATAAACCTTTAACACACACCTACACATACTTCCTCGGAGGCTTCATGACCTTCCCTTCCCAGGGGCCCTTGGATGCCTGTTTGAGACACACCTGAGCCCTTCCTTGGCTCATTTGACACAAAAAACACAGGATTTTCTCTAGCAATTATATAGGGATCATCTTTTCTGCAACAAGTATGCTTGTTTTCACCTTTACATCTTGTAAATCTTGGCATTACTTAGAGAATTCAGCCCAAAGATCTTTGTAACCCCCCTTTTCAGAAAGCAGATTCTGAGCAAGAAGCTTCCTGTTTGATGGAGAGAGATGGGTGAGGCTGGCATCCCCAGATGCATTTAAAAGCTCTAGTTCCATGGGGTGCTGGTGGAAAGTGTGTGCAGGGTCAAATGAGGCTGAGGACTCTGGTTAGGGGGTTCCCTCTCCTGCGGTCCATCTTAGACTTGGGGCAGCAACTGTTAGAGCATGCAGTATTCCCCAACCACAGACACCTTCTTCAAATTATGGGTCATGAGACTGGTGCTCTGAGCCACCCACGCAGTGGATCTAAGCTGCCGGAGCAAAGAAGTGCTTCTTGCTCCACCCCACCTGGTGCGGGTGGCCCATCCATTTGGTTCCTTACCTTCTCCCCCTGTCTGGTGGCTCCTGGCTGCCCACATTTGACTGGGCATTGCTTTCTCGGCTGGACACCTCCTTGAGCTCGGCTCCGCGGAAACGCTCCAGGAAGGAATCTGGTCTCTGGGCCTCACGATGTAAGTGCCTGGTGGCCCATGCTCGCAGCGAGATGATCAGGCGAGATACCCTGGAAGGCCGTGGACAGGCAGCCAGTGCAGAGAGGAAAGAGATAGAAAGGCCTCTTTTCCAGGGCTGGGGCAGAAGCAGAGATGGCTGGCAGGACACAGGTCTTGGAGGTCCTGGGGGCCCTGGGCTTGGTTGTGCACCTCCCCTCTCCCTTCTCCTCCATCATCTGCAGCCTGAGACAGAGATCTCTAGATAGGGGGCATCATCTTCAATATAACATTGCCCTTTTAACACTAGGACTTTGCCAAAGGCATGATCTTTCAAATGGGCATTAGCAGCTTCTCTGCTTATCATTCCTTTTGTAGAGCTCTTTGTTATGACTAGTAAGCATAGGAATAGGAAAAAAAATAATTTGCAAATGGTGATCAAATTTAGAACAAGGTTAGAGGAATAAGTACCCAGATATGACTTACGTACGTTTTTTCCCTAACCCTTGTCTTATTGTGTTTCCTCCTCAGACTTGTGCATAAGTTCCTTCTCCTGGAGCCAGACCTTGCTGTGGTCTCCATCACCTGGTACTAGTCTGTCCCTGTCCCCAGAGCCTGTCTTAGCTTCAGCCTTCCCTCAGCTGTGCCTCCTGCCTTCCCTGATCCTTCAAAAGGGGAATGAGAAGAGAACCTGAACTCTGTTTTCTTGGTTTCTGGTTGCCCTGACTTGGCACCTACAGTGCATGCCACTGTTTCCAATAAAATAAGTTCTGAGCAGCCTAGAATGAGGTCATAAGCTGTCACGTGCCTTGACCCTAATCACATACATGGGCACTTTGCCTAAGAGAATACATTAAAGAGAGAAGATGTTCCATGCACAGAGATGTTTACAGCTGCTGCTACAGACATATGTTGAAGTTCTTGCCCAGCTCAGCCACTCTGCTCTGGACACTCCTCCCATCCCCAATCTCCCTCTGCTGAGGGGCTGGAGCCGAGGTCACACTCCCAACTCCAGGTTCAGCTGACAGGCCCAGGAGAGTCACTCAAGCTTCTGAACTAAAAGCCATTCCAAGATGGGGTTGGGTGTTTCAAATAGCAAATAGCAAAGCCTATTTTCAGCCTGTGCCTGGTGATATATGAACAGAGAAAGCCCAAAACAGAGATGTGCAGAAAAAAAAAATCAGGAAGATCATGACACTCCAGGAGAAAATGAGAGGGAGAGGGCAGGTGCTTCCCCTGCTCCCCTGTCATGAGCCCCATTGGCTCCCTTTCCATGAGGTGGTCTGTCTGAGTTTGCACCAGCCTCCTGCCTCGGCCCTCCCCCAGCCCTTTCAATATGAGCTGGTTTGAAGGTGTCCTCTTCCTTGCAATCAATGAGCCTTAAGATAGCATTTTATTAGTAAGACAAAAGCACTGAAATTATGTAAATGTCCAGCAACAAGGGGCTAGGGAAATAAATATTTCTCCAATGCAAAATACAGAGAATAACTAGAAGAATTAATTTTTGCAACAATCTTAAGCAAAAACTGCAGAACACGTGACTATATAAAACTATAGCATTGGTTAAAAAAATTTGGTGGAAGGAAATAACAAGCCCCACATTTGTTGAGCACCTGTTGTGAATCAGCACCTGGCTCTGATGCAGCCCTTACGTTGTTCGAGGTGTCTCCAGATGAGATCTGGAAAGGTAAAATGACTTCTTCGAGGTGGCATGGCTCTTGAAGCTGGAGTGCAGACGTCAACAGCTCAGAGCCTAGATAATCTTTCAAATCCTCCTGCAAGGACGTGTGCTCAGAAGCCTAGACATGCACCTGTGAGGGCCTGCTAGAGGCTGCCTCAGACGGCGCCACAGAGGTCCACCACGGGTCTCCTGCAGCTGGCTGGTCTTTTTTCTCAATTTTTTCTGGAACCCTTCGGGTTTGGCTTTTTTCTAAATTCTTCCAGACTTGAAAGCAAGTACCTCGATATCACTTTGTATGAAAGCAATTTCAGATAACAGTTTTTCTTAGGTTTTTCTCAGCTCAGGACACTTGACCTGAGAGGTTATTACTCAGTGATAGATTTCTGACTGCTCTTCTCCTGCCCCTTTCTTCTCCACATCTTCAACCCCACCTCCACCACTGCTCCCCCATTTCTTCCTGAGACTCAGCTCCCTTCCTCCTGCCTCAGCTTCCCTCTTCCCAAGGTGAGCGCTGAGCCTGCTCGGTTACCTGGCCTGCCCCTGGCTGGTGTAGGAGCTTTGCCTGGACTCAGCCTGTTCTCTGGTCTCCATGGCGATCTCCTGCTGCAGTTCTGACGAAGTCTCCTCACCCCGCGAGTGGACCCTAGGAAATCAAATATGCAGCAGGCTAAATTGATTTCAAGCTCATCCCCTCCTGGACACACTCAGGGATGAGATGGCCAGATGTCCCACTTAATGAGGAAAGCCGCCAGCACCGGTCTTCACTCTCTCTGTCCATGCACCAGCAGGATCCAGCAGATCCTGCTTTTAGGATAAACGTGGCCTTTCCTCTCCAGCGAGCCTGACAGAGGAAGGTAGCCCATCCAGCTACTTGCTGCCTGTGGACTTAAGGAGGCAGGCCAGCAGCACATGCTCCCCATCGGAGCTCAGAGTGGGGTGGCCTGGTGCCCGCCAGCGGGAGCCACGGCAGCTGTTTCTACCCAGGGATTCCAGAAAAGGATTCTGGTTCAAACACATGTCTGCATAGTGAGATCTATCTGCTAAGGCCAGACCGCATGTACGCCACAATCACAGTTATTTGTGTGCCTGTCCGGCAGCCCTCCCAGGAGCCCAGTTCGTATGTGTTTAAGAGTGTCCTGGAATATCGTATGGCATTGGCCTAGCCCTCCATGTGCATTTGTATACTGCTTTTGCATGAAAATTCATTTCCCCTGTGCCCTCGTGTCAAACCCTAACTTCTGTCCCCTGCAGTGCCAGTGACCTCACCTGCGCAGCGCAGGGCGAAAAGCATGAGCACACATAGAACCGATGCCCACAATTCAGTACGAGCACCGGTCACACCAGCAGAGCCTTGGTGTTTGTCAAACTGCCTGGAATAAGACCAATGTGTTTGGACATATTTTCCTTTCGTTCCCTGTCTTTTAAAATCTCCCAGGGCTGAAATTTGATCAGCCTGATTAAAAGCCATCCAGGCATTGGCCCCTAGGGATTTACACTTCATTCTATGAGTCTTGAAGAGCCCAGGCAGGACAAATTAATTCCATCACGTGACCTATTCCAACCTAATCAGCCTTCTTAACAAGGTGGCAACACAGTTGAGGAAGTAAGCAATAATTAACGTCAGGAAAAGGCTCTCTCTCTCTCTCTCTCTCTCTCTCTCTCTCTCCCTTTCTCTCCTCGGTGAGGGATTAGAAGGCAGAGTCCTGCATCCCAGCCGCTGATCTGCTGACCCCTCTTTGTACGACATCCTTGCCATCTCCAGCCGCAGGGCACTCGCTACTGTCCCACGGCCCACATGGGCCATCTTTGTAGCAGGTTCTTCCCTCCCTCAGCTTCCTCAGACCAAGGTTAATTTTTTTTGGTGCTGGAACCAGAGTCAGGCCACCTCATCTTCTATATGACCACCTTCGTGTAGCTGGGACATGGAAGGGACACCTCTCACACCCATGCCACATCTGTTTTTCCAGGCTGGAACCCCCTAGCTTACCCGGCCACGCCTCATCAGATTCAAGGCTCTTCCCCATAATGGTCATGCTCCTGTGAGCAGATTCCTGCATTCCCACCTGACTGGGCTTGGAGACCGAGGCCACTCTGCTGTTCCTGGACTCTAAGCCAGAGGTCATTGTAGGTTTGTGAGTTTGATTCCAGTCTTGGAACATGGGTTGCGGCTAAGCCAGAAGATCCTATCTTGTGCATGTACAATTGATTTGTTGGAAGTCAGTATTAGACCTTTCCATTTATCTGAGTCCCTGGTGGATGTTTTGGGGCCCTTGGTATGCAGGGGTGCCATACTAGCCTTTCCTCCCAACTCCATCTGATTCACATGCAATCATAGGAACATGCCATTTTTTGACTATCTACTGTATGCCAGCCACATTGATCTTGTCATTTAATCCACATAACCACTCTATAAGAGAGAAAACTGGAGTTCAGAGAGGTTAAATAATTTCCCCAAGACCATACAGCCAAGTGGCAAAGCTGATATTTGAATGTCATTCCATCCCGTGTCAGAGCCTGGTCTCACCCACTCCATGAAGCAACTCTCTGTATTTTCACATATGGCACTGGTCAAAGCAAAATTTAATAGGACATGGCTGAGGACTGAGCCCTGCGGCATGCCACTAGACATGGCTCTGGTCCACCGGGCTATACAATTTGGGCATGGCTCTTTATTTTCAAGCCATCTATTTGAATTGGCCCTCTCTACCCTTAAAAGACCACTCACGTTTTGTCCTTACACATATGAGAAACCTTGCCAGAGGTCCTGCTGCAGTTAGGAAGCTCTGATCCCCTTGCCTTTCTAATAATCTGCATACCAGGAAGGTGGAATGCACATTCCAAGGTGCCAGGGTCATTCCCAGAAGAGGGAGCAGTGGGACAAGTGAGTGAGTCCATATCTCTAGTCCCTGGATGCTAGCAGCTGGCATCTGGTGGGGTTAGGGCTGCAACAACCAAACACTGGGCTGCAGCTCCATCAGGGTATGTGTGCCCGGAAGACACGGAGGCAATCCCAAGGGTGAAAGTGTTCTGTCCCCACCTGCAGTTCCTCAGGGAGCTCTGGGCACCAAGAAGTCGGCCCAGCATTCCTGCCTCGTCTGCGCTCTGTTAATTACGTGAGGGCACATCCTGAGATCAGATTTATTTGCATTAGTGGCAAAGGAATCAATGACATCAGAGCTGATGAGGATGTGAGGAGGGCAAAACCCACCCCAGACTCCAACGCAGCTCCAAAGCAGCACCGTTACTGGTGGTGATGAGGGCTGGCATGTGGGGGCTAGGACACTCACCTGAAGGACAGGCAGCAGAGTGGGGAGCCAGGAGGCCTGGGTTCAAATCCCTACCCTAACATCTATTAGCTAGGTGTTCTGTGAGTGGGTCACTTACCCTCCCTGAAGGTTTTTTTTTTAAGGTTTTATTTATATATTCACGAGAGACACACAGAGAAAGGCGGAAACATAGGCAGAGGGAGAAGCAGGATCCTAGTGGGAGCCCAATGTGGGACTCGATCCCAGGACCCAGGAATGACGACCTGAGCCAAAGGCAGATGCTCAACCAGTGAGCCACCCAAGTGCCCTACCCTCCCTGAAGTTTTATAGTCTTCAAAAAGGAACTAAAGGAATAATTGATTTCATTTCAACTTAAGCATCGTTCAAACAGCCAAGTCCAGAAAAGGCATATTTAGCCATGAAGAATAGGGACCCAAAGGGGCCTTTCTTTTCAACGCATCTTGCCACTTGTTTCTGATGCTTGAAATTCTCTGATGTCTCCTAGCTCCTGAGGCTCTCCCTTGTTAAGTGTGTGGGGGTATTTAGATAGTAAACCCAATTAGTTACTCCTCAGAGACATGGATTTTATGAAGCAGATGGAAGACGAGATGGGAAGAGAGAAGAACCAGATGTCTGAGGTGACACTTTGAGTCCCCAGGGACACACAGGTACGGAATAAAGGGAGCACCTTCTGGCAACCAAAGTAGGAATGGGGATCCAGAATCTTCCAGAGAAATAGAGAGGCAGGAGAGACTGGGGGCCAGGCCCTGTCCTGCCGAGAGCTGGCGGAGGGGCTGGGGGCAAGGACCTGACGGGGACTTCTCTGTTAAAAACAAAACAAAACAAAACAAAACAAAACAAAACAAGTGAACTGATCAGGCCAGGACAACCCCGAAGCTGCCCTCCTGCTTGCCAACTCCGACTGTCAGCGGTGACGACAGAGATGACGCCTGTGCAGGAAGCAGTTCCGTGAAGGTGGTAATTAGCAGGAACAAGAGCAACCAGCACAGCACAATGGTGTGACTGTTTCCAAAGACAAGGTAATTTCAACTTGTGAAAATTGTTCATCTTCTAAGTTTTCTTACAAAGAGGAACCTCATGTCTGTGAGGTAAAGGTTTCCCCTGTCACTGGGAGAAGACAGGGGTACTCATCAGAAATGCAACTTGTCATTAGCTTTGCACTTTGTGGAGCACCCGGTGACTTCGGGGACGTAAACAAACCTTGGAGAACACGTTGGAGAAGATGATCCCTTGTCTTTCCCTCCTCGCAAGCCCTGAGGAACATGAATGACCGATATACACTGCCACTGGCCACATGTGACCAGGGAACTGAAGTGAGTGCACTTTTGTCTTTGGTCCTGGGGTAGCAGGCTGAAAATGGTTTTCTTTGGTGATAATTGCTTTGGGCTCTGCTCAGAGAGCAGCATGAAGAAGGCTTCTTTTCTGTAGGATACAAACCCCTGTGCCCCAAAGCTCGCCTAAAATAGCTACACCAGGAGATTGATCTGAGATTTGAGGTACCCTCGGTCCTTGCTGCACTCCTCTGTAGCAGATTCTGAAGTCTTTCCCTACTGCATTATCTTTTCAAATATGCCTGACAGCTCTTAACTAATCAAGTCAACTAAACAGATCTAAATAGAAAAGAAAAATTCAAGACATTTTTATTTCTGGTATTTCCAGCATTTTGACTTTTTTGGTTCAAATGACACGTTTCTATCCTTCCTTATGGCTTGTCACTAGGAGAGTGATCCCAATAATTTAAAAGGAGAAACAGAAACCTGGATTTCCAATTTGGTGAAAGATTTGGGGGACATCTCAGGGGATGGGGACATGATCTCTCCTCCCTCCTAGGGGCATTCAGCAAAGGGTCACAGTGACACACAGATTCTCAGCATAGCTTCTTAATATCATCAAGGACAAAGAATGATTAATATTTAAGGACAAACATTCACAATTATTTCTCCCATAAGCTTTCTAAAAAGATTTGAATTTTGTGTTTTATTATTTTTGAAAAGTTTAATCTCTACATCCAGTGTGGGGCTCGAACTCACAACCCTGAGATCAAGAGTCACAAGCTCTACCAACTGAGCCAGCCAGGTGTCTCAAAAAGGATTTGAATTTTAAATTAAAGATCTATAGTTTGTTGAAAACTGTTTCCTCCCTAAAAGTAGTGATTTGAAACTTTAAAATTCTTATGTATATGTGCCAGAGTCCCTTGTTCAAACGGATCTTATAGAGAAAACTAGTCTGCCAGCATGTAGATGCTGGGCTGTGCTGGGAAGCAGAAGAGGGGCCTGGACCCCACCTCTGGTCCAAGGCTGTTCTACCCTCAGCCTGTACACGCATGCTCAATCCTTGGTAACACCAAGGAACCCATTCTAGAAACTTCCACCTGTTAATACAGTCCTGCTTCCATAACATAAAGCAAACATCTCTCTCATGAAGGAAGCATTCTTTCTCTCTCTCCTTTTGCAATCTCCACAGCATCTCTATGGATTCTGTATTAATCTGTCAACAAGCTATTTCCACGGGAGAGGTTGGGCAAGGCTCCAAGTGAGGCTTAATGAGACTGGACTAGTAGTCAGGCTGAGAAAGTATGACTTGGTCACAGGCAGGAAATGGCCAGATCCAGATGTCAGGATAGCTGGAGCTCTCTGAGGTCAGAGGAGGAGAAGGCTTGCAGCCTGGAACACCAGGGAAGCTCCCACGGGATGCGGAATTGTTTCCAAGACTGACAGAGCACTGACTGAGCACTTCCTACGCAGCAGGGACTGTGCCAAGAGCTTTCACCTGTTTTAACCTCACCACAGCCCTATGAGGTCAGGACTAGTCCATTTTTCAGATGAGGAAACTGCAGTTTGGAGCAGTTGCACAACTTTCCAGAGCTGGTCAGTGGCAGAGCCAATGTTCAAACTCACCCAGCCTGACTCTGAGCCTCTTAGTCACCATGCTGGTTGGGGGTGGGGGATGGAAGGAGACTGAAGGGCTATTTCCCATCCATGAAGATGGCAGATAGAATTATCGAGGGGTATCAATTCAGAGCCCTGACTGTGTGGCTGACTGACCCTCCGAGTGTGCATGAATCCAGCATGAGCTCACAGAGAGTCTCTTGGAATCCAGCAGTCCGTCGCTGGGGTCTGTGTGGCTTCCACTGATCGAGCTAGCCATTTATTTTGCAAAGGGTAATCTTCCAGGAGACTCAGTGAGCTCTCTTGAATAGCCCACATGCCGGACTGGGCTTGTAGGCTGCTGGCTGAGGCCGAGCCAAGACGAAAAGGACAGAGCTGGGCCACAGTGGTACCTGGTCAAGTAGGCATTCTGGGCAGGAGCCCCGGCCCTCTAACCAGGCCTGCCTTTTCTTGAGTATCTAACTGTAAAGAGCCAAACTAAGACCCTGTTGTTCTCAGTCCCAGGGAGTCTGGAAGCTCCATGAGATGCTCGGATTATATCCCACTCAACACAAAAGGAGCAATGGAGCAAATGAGGCACCATTTTGCCTCAAACTCCCCCTGATCCTAACAGCCTCTCTCCTTCTCCCACTGGGCCCAGGTCCCAGGAACCCAGTACTGCCCACGGGGCTTGACTTTACTGCTTGTCACATGTATAGACCTTCCTCCCCCTCCACAAAATCTTCTTTGAATACCCTGCCCCAAGAGGTTTATTAGCACAGGTGTGAAAAAGAAGCTATTAATGCATACAAAAGTCACAATGCACAGATAGCTGTCCTAAGAGTGTTCTTTTCTTCTTTTAAATTAGGGGCAATGACTTAACCTAAAGGAATAAGTCCCCAGTGGTGGGACAATGGTATATTGACAGTCGGCCAATTAGGAGGGAGAAATTTGAGTAGAGTGAGAATTTCGGATGGTCCTGAGTCACATCAAAATTCCTGGGGCGGGCAGCCTGGGTGGCTCAGCAGTTTAGTGCCACCTTCAGCCCAGGGCATGATCCTGGAGTCCCGGGATTGAGTCCCACATCGGGCTCCCTGCGTGGAGCCTGCTTCTCCCTCTGCCTATGTCTCTGCCTCTCTCTCTCTCTCTCTCTCTCTCTCTCTCTCTGTCTCATGAATAAATAAATAAATAAAATCCTTAAGAAAAAATTCCTGGGGCCCCAGCACCCTGTTAAAATAACTGGAGCCAATAAATATCTGTTGGGATGCTTTGAGATATTCCTCTCTTTGCTTGAATCTCCAAAGGTGGGGTCCTAGGACTACATAAGTTTGTGATGATAGGAACTCAATCTCTTTGGAAATGATTGTCCATTACTCATGAGCAGAATTAGCTAAGGAGTGGGACCAAGAATCTAGACAGAGGGGCACCTGGGTGGCTTAGTGGTTGACCATCTGCCTTTGGCTCAGGTCATAATATCCCAGGGCCCTAGGATCAAGCCCTGCATCAGCTCCCCACAGAGAGTTTGTTTCTCCCTCTGCCTATGTCTTTGCCTCTCTCTCTGTGTATCTCATAAATGAATAAATAAAAACATAAATAAATAAAATCTTTAAAAAATAATGTAGACAAAAAAAATGTGCATCTGAGAGAGGAAGTGATATACATTGGTAACTGAGCAGAAATGGTGGATGAGGGCCCAGTACCAGGGAAGTGAGAACCAAGAGACTGTCATTGCAGTTTGTTGTCATTGGATAATATGTAGTTATCATGGGAGGGAGAAGTTTTTATGGAAGCGAGAAGTTTTCATTGTTATATATATAGGACAACAATAACATAAATATTGGAAATAAGGTTTCTCATGGTTCAACTTAAGCAACCCACTGAGAATTTAAGGAACATAAAAATGTAAGTCCATTTGCACCAAAAAGATACACTCCCACTTCCTCACTATTGTGCCAGGAGCTTGGAAAAGATGCTACTCTATTTTGCAGTTGAAGAAACTGAGGCATGGAGAAATTAAGTAGGTTTTACCCAGTTTACTGTTAGTTATGAACAGGGCTAGAAGTAGAACTCAAGCCCCAGATTTCTCTATGGCTGCCTGTGTGGGGATGTCATTGATGGGGCTAATGGCTTCATTGGCAAGGCGTGGCCCATTCCCTGCAGACCATGAACACAGCATGAATCCTGACCTTCCGCTGGAAGCAAGGGACAAAGCATCTGATGCATATTCCATCCCTAGCGCTGAGGATAATGGCTGGTGCAGAGAGTCCAATGAATGTCTGTTGTGTTCATAAGAAAGTATGGCAGTTTAGAAAAATTTTTACAGTAAAATTATATGCTGCATTTGAATCTTCATTTTTTAAAATATTTTTTATTTATTTTTTTTTTTGAGAGAGAGAGAGAGAGAGAGAAAGAGAGATATTGAGATAAGTGCCTGAGTGGAGGGAAGGACAGAGGGAGAAGCAGACTCCCCACTGAGCAGGGATTCCCCAATGTGGGGCACAATCCCAGGACTCTGAGATCATGACCTGAGCCAAAGGCAGATGCTTGACTGACTGAGCCTCTAGGTGCCCTGAGTCTTCATTTTGTTACCTTTTAGAAGTTACATTACCTTTTGAGCTTCATTTTCCACCTCTCTAAAATGAGAATAAAAACTACTTCAGTGGGTTTATGAGGCTTAAGTGAGATGGCTTAAGTCAGAAGGAGCACTGTGAATAGTCAGCACCCTCCAATCTGTGGTTGGCCACAGGCTAAGGCATTCTTTACTCCACTGTCTAGATCAGCTATGGGAACAACTCATTTTAAGGGCATAAAATGAAAAGCCTGTCTTACCTGCTGAGGCCATTTTCAACGTGGTCGAGATCTCTGTCCATGGTCCTTACCACAGGGTGGGAGACTTGGGTGTTAATCTTGGCCATCTTGTTTTGTCAAGTTCAGTCCCAAGGTGGTTGCTGAAACATGAACACAAAGCAGATCACATCAGGACAGGGAAGCAGCTGCAAACCCAGCTCATTGTTGGTCGGTGCTATTTCCCCAGGCAAGCCTTGGCACACACATACCCTCTTCCATTTCTCCCATAGTTCCAGCTACATTGCACTTTAATTGGGTATCTTTGGGGTCTTCTTCCCAGCCTGAAGCACAAACAAGGTCTTTCACTCCTCTGTGTATGCTGTGATACTGAAGAGCTGCTCAAAGCTAAATGCTGATCCAGCCAATGAATGAAGGATTGGCCAAGTTGATATTTGATTTAAGCAAGTTAAATCCTCATGATTCTGTGGAGTGCTGTGATGTTCCTCTTGTCTTTCATTTTCTCTTTCTCTCTCTCTCTCTCTCTCTCTCTCTCTATTTTAAGATTTTATTTATTTATTTGAGAGAGAGAGTTAAAGAGAGAGAAAGATCAGAGGGAGGGTCAGGGGGAGAAGCAGACTCTCCACTGAGCAGAGCCTGATGTGGGGCTCGATCCCAGGACCCCAGGATCATGACCTGAGATGAAGGCAGATGCTTTACCAACTGAGCCACTCAAGTGCCCTGGTTTTCTCATCTACTTATTTTTATCACTTAGTTTTCATATATTTTAGTAGCTCCCCAAATACCATTTTAAAACAAAGCATAAAATCAAACAATACTTGACATTCATAAAACCTTTACAATGTGATGTTATCCTCAAATATGCTTCATCTCATTTAATCTGCATAATAACTTCATCAGATATTTACAATTTTTATCCCCATTTAAAGATGACTAAATTGAGACTCAGAGATATTAAGCATCATGATCAAGCAAAGAAATAGGTAAAACCTGTTAATGGCATGATCCTGGTGCTAGAAATCAGACCATGAATACTCTCCCTTCAGCAGACACTGAAAGGTGCCCCTATTATTGATGAGAAAAGAAAGCTGATGTGAGCACAGGGCTGGTGTGATGAACACAAAGCTTGGCCAGTTCCCTTATTCTTGATCAAAAGAATCAAGGGATTCTTGTCTCAGTAGAGACAGCTCCAGAGAAAGTGATTTCGAGAAATAGTCCAGTGACACACTCCAAGACTAAATTAATTCCATATCCAAAGGAAGGACAATGAAAGGAGCCTAGAATACTATGCCAAAGCACAGATATAGTCCTGCTCACCACAGTCAACCCACTGTGTGTTTACTCAGGGGGCAATTGTCGGTACAGTGGTCTTGGTTCATCTCTGATGTTTGAGAATTAAGTCTGTGATTTAAATTTTTTACTTTTCTCAATAGATCAAAAATTGTTTTGGTTTTTAAAAACTTTATTCACTATATAACAGCGAGTTTCTGGTTGATTGCAGGAGATACAAAGAACTATAAGATGAAGACTGTTCTCAAGGGTCTTATGGTCTAGTAGGACAGATGATGGATACCAGAGGGTCCTCCAGGCTGTGTTAAGGAGCTTGAGTTTTACCCTGAGCTCAGCAGGGATGTGGTCAGATATGCAAAGGCCATTCTGGATGCACTGAGGAGGACATATTCAGGGAATATGAGTTGATGTGAGATAAGCAGATACTGATGCAGTATCTCGAGAGAGAGAGTATAGTTGCCTGAACTAGATTTGTGGTAATGAATCAGATAAATTAAAAAAAAACTACCAAATGGATATAATCACTGGGACATGGTAATTAATCAAGTATAAAAGGTGATGAGGAGGGAGGTGCTGAGCATGATGCATGACTGCTGGTCTAGGGCATTGATGGTCTTGTACACTGAGGCAGGGATCCAGGAGGAGGAAGCAGGCTTGAGAAAGAGAATGATTCTAGTTTGAGGCGTCTATGGAAACTTTAGAGCTAACATAGGAAATAAATGTCTTCCATTAAAAGCAATAAGCCAGGGGCAGCCTGGATGGCTCAGTGGTTTAGCTCTGCCTTCAGCCCAGGGCATGATCCTGGAGACCCAGGATCGAGTTCCGCCTCGGGCTCCCTGCATGGAGCCTGCTTCTCTCGCTGCCTGTGTCTCTGTGCCTCTCTCTCTCTCTCTCTCTCTCTCTCTCTCTCTGTGTGTGTGTGTGTGTATTGTGTATCTCATGAATAAATAAATATTTTTTAAAAACCTCAGCTGAGGTGAATATTTTTTAAAAAAGCAACAAGCCAATTTGAAATTGTTCATCCAATGCTTTTTTTTAAAGAAAAAGATTTTATTTATTTATTCATGAGAAACACACAGAGAGTGTTTCTCTCTCCTGCGGGGAGCCCAATGTGGGACTTGATCCCAACACCCTAGGATCACGACCTAAGCTGAAGGTAGACACTTAACCACAGAGCTACCCAGTTGCCCCTTTCCAATGCTTTTTTATTGAGCACTTACTATATGTGAGACAATATGCAAAGAGCTGGGGTTTTACAGAGAAGGATATACATCTCTGACCTCAAGGAGCTTACAATCCAGTGGAATCTAGAGCAAGTCTTAAAAAAGTTTTGGGACTCTGCAGGAAATCTATTAAATTATTCTTTTTGTACATTTCCAGGAAAATTGCATCAGAGAAAGTTCATTGCTCCAGCCTGTGTCCCTTCCCTCAGCCATCCCCAGGTGTACAAACCCTGGCTTCATATGCTATTGTATGGAGGCAGCTCTTCTGGGGTCCTTATTGAGGGCTACTATATGCCAAAAACAGGGTAGGTGCTCGTGTAATACTGCTCCTTTAACTCACAAATAGCCTCCCCCTTCCTTCCCTTTTACAAGTGGAGAAGCAGGTACATAATTTCCATAATGTTCCTTATAGCCTGAGCCAGGATTGACAAAGTTCTCTCTGACTCCAGAACCTGATAGTGTAAAGTTAATGGGTGACAAAGAACTGGCATTGCCTTTTGGCCTGGGCAAGAGAGGTCTCTGCTTGGGATCCCAGGCTATAAAGGACTCTACTCTGAGTTTCTTCTAGCCATAAGGCCAAGGGGACTTGCCCATTCACAATCTTGCCCACTGCTGTAGTCTATGCTCTGGAAGCCCAAGACTCCCACATTTTGTGCTTAGGAGACTCTGAGCTGATTCTAGGGCCTTGTGGGCCTCTTATCTCATCTGTTCGCCTGAGACAGGCATCAGTGTGCACTCCCCTAGAGCTCCAAGTGGCCAAGGAGCAGCTGTTTGGAGGGAAGGGATGTGGACCTCAGAGATGCGGGCAGCATGTCCACAGGCATGTGTGAAAGACCCCTTGTGACATGGGGTGGACTCAGAGCTGGGCAGAGAAGGAGGCAGACCATGGCTGGGAGACCAGAGATCAAATCTCCCCCTGCCACTATGTTCTGAGGCTGAACTCGAAGGGGCTTGAGAGATTGTTATTTGAATCTGGCGTTCTAGTCATTGTGAAAGTGATTTGTCAAGATAGGAGGATAAGGCATGTTTGAATAGACAGTGTACTAGTTTGGTCTCTGTCACAGTCATCTCTGGCTCTCTAACCTCATATCCTTCCTGCCCTTCTATCAGTCCAGCTGTTGCTATGGAAACCAGTTGCAGGTGGGGTGACCCAGCAGCACCTTGCCTCAGCTACACCATGGATTGTTCACCTTTCCTGGGGCTTCCCTGCTTCCCCCAGAGAACATATGCTAGGATGCTTGTGCCATTCTGATACATGTACAAACCTAGAAGTGCTAGTGTTAGTAACTCCCCTTTGGGCAACTTTTGACTACCAGAACTCAGGAACTGGCAGTAAATATTCCCATCTTCTATTCCTCAGGAAGAAAATTCAGTGGTACTCTACATGGCTGTTTGGAGATGTCCTTGAAGGATCAAGCCAGTTGCTCAGAGTGGTTGATCAGTTGATAAAGTACACTTGGGGTGGCTTTCCCTTCCTGCCTTATTGTCTCTTTTAAGACCCTCACTTCTCTTCCTTGGAATCACTCCTCAATCACTCCCTGGAATGTCCTTGTCCAAGGTTCTAGGTTTTTTGTTTGTTTTGGTGGGAGGTAATTACCTTAGCTAAGAGAATATTTTTTAGATATTTAGACAAATGGTACAATGGTATGTGGGTTATGTGTACTCCTGACTTGGGCCCCTAACAGGTAGGACAAGGCAAAATGTGTGTGATTAAAGAGAAATGTTAAAGATAAGTCATAAGATCTTTTTTCCCTCAATTGTTGATAAACCTCATAATCATTGTCTTTTTTTAAAAAAATACCTTTAAAAATCAGGATCCAAACTAGGTCCACATATTCTGATTGGCTGACTGGCATTTTTAAATCTAAAGTGTTTTTTTTTTTTTAAGATTGATTTATTTTAGGGAGAGAAAGTGCTTGTGCATGGAGGGGCAGGGGGGAAGGGGTAGAGGGAGAGAATCTTCAAGAGGACCACCCTCCAACTCTGAGCAGGAGCCCAGTGGTGGTGGTGGTTGGGGGGGGGGGGGGCTTGATCTCACAACCCAAGAGATCATGACCTGAGCCAAAACCAAAACCAAGAGGCAGAGGCTTAATCAGCTAAGTGACCCAGGTACCCCTAATCAAAAGTTTTGATGCATTTCTCTTCTTTGTCTTTATAGAAGAAACAATTGTACTCCAGAGTTTCCTACAGTATGGATTTTTGCCAAATTCCAAATTGATGATGTTTTTTGTAAATTGGTAGTTGTACTCAGAGGTTTGGACTAGCGTGGGTTCAAAAAAAATTTTTTTTTGGGAAGAACATTTCACAGCCATTGATAATCATTGCCTGGACCTACCATTTCAAGTTGCAAATTGGTGATGTTCTATCATTTCTTCTCTACCACTTAGCTGCTATATTCTTAAAGAAAATTTTATTATTTGGCTCTTCAGTGGTACATTGGCTCTTCAATTCATACAGGAAAGGTAGGATAAAACATTTTTTCCCTCTTATTTACCAGTTTTTAAGTCCTGACAGCCTCGGTGATTCCCCAACTGCCCTATGAATTTTCACATTTCCTGGCCCAAACTCTGGGAGAACTCACAAATGAGATCGTGAAA